CAGAGAGCTTAATAAGTCTCTTAAAGTTACCATAATAGTAAATGACAGAGCTGAGACTTGAACCCAGGAAGCCTGACTTCAGAGTCCACATTCTTAACCAACCAGTTCACAATGATGATAGAATGACATTCAGTTGCTCTCTGGGCTCAAAATGGATCATTCATTGCCTGCTCTTTGAAAATGGAGCTAGGCCCTTTAAATCTTGTTCCTTTGACAGCTGCTTACAATGTTATGCTTTGTCTGTAGGGGGTGCTAGAGACTATGAAAGAGGAAGGGCTTTTCCTCCTGGTGCTGGCATGCTTCTCTTAGCAGGCTCTTGCATAACACGCAGCTCCTCCATTATCTAGCTTCTGCAGCACATGCAGCTTCTCAAGCATCTGGCTCCTGCAGTGCAGCCAGCTTCTCCAACAACAGGTTTCTGCAGTGTGCACAGCTTTCCTGCATCCAGATCCTGCAATGCATGGTCATCAGTAGCACTTAGCAGCCAGCAGCTTTCTCCTAGTACCCACAGCAAAAGAAGGAATGTCTCCATCTCTCCGTAATAGCTTCCCCTGTCACTCTAGGGGGCCATGTCTAGAACATTCTGTCAACACATCGTCTCAGGCTTCTCTGAATCCAGGGAGCCACAGCCATGTCCTACCCAACAAAGTCCAGCTCTCAGCTGGGAATGGCATGTGGGTGCTACTCCTTCAGGGCCTCTATCTCGGCCCTGGGATTGGTGGCTGCTTCTTATATCTGCTGTTCTATGGTCTTTAGAGTTCTCTTTACGTCTTACTAACCAATCCATTAGTTCATTCTTTATATCAAACTTTACATATCATATTACTATGAATAGTTAATTCAAATATTAAGCTTCCCATACTCATATTACTATGTGGTTTCAAGTCTTATGTTTGGACCCCAACTGATACAGACATCCAGGAAGCTGCCTAGGCAATCAAAAGAGACAGCAACACAGGTACAAACTGGGACAACAGCCCAAGGAAGGAGAGCCCCAGGTTACAAGGCAGTTCTCAGGTAAGGCTGGCCAATTCTGAGAAACACACAGGGCAAGGAGGTTCTAGGATTCTTTTTGGTGCAGAAAACTGAGAAGGGGTTAGTGGTGAGGCCGAGGTGACAACACACAGGTCATTTCACCTTGGGCTATCTTAAGCTGGAGGAGCCTATGAGAACTCCAGTGGCACATCCAGAAGGTTGAAAATATGTATCAGGAATGGGTAAAAGAACCATGGCTGGAAGGAAACAAACAGGCTTGCTAGTTGTGTGTGGATCACCAGTTCCCTAGGCTGACACCCCTCCTCCCCACAGGGAAAGAATCCCCAACAGCATCAGCTGGGTGAAGAGACTTCCACTTTCCTGGTACTTCACTGTCCAGGGTCCTCTCCTACTTCCTGTTCTCACACTGTATCCCCTGGGCCAACCTCTGACCTCGATTCTTCTTGTCTATTCCATGCAGTCCTCACCACCTCCCACTTCCCTTCCCCCAGAAGACCCTGTGTTCCTAACGTCTTGGAACTAAGATGGATGATTCATTGAGAACTGTAAACTACTTCCTGCATAGACGTTGCAGGTGCTCTGCACATAAAAGATGCTCCTGAACTGTCACTTCCTGCTTTCATCGCTTAGAAGCCTCTTCACAGATGGAGCAGTAAGAGACTCACGTCCCTATGAATTTGTCAAAGGGCTCTGAGCCTCAGAATGACATCTTCTTGGAAGGATTTTCAAATCATTACCATCAAAATAATAATAGAAGCTACAGCTGGATTTTACCTCTGACTGTGGCAGACCATGTAGCAGACAAACCCCTCCTGTGACAGCAGTCTTTAAAAGCTCTAGTTTGGGGGGATTTTCTTAAATCCACTCAAAGGCATCAGAGAGCTACCCATGCAGTTAGGACAGACTCAAGAGGCCAAGACCCTGGAGAGGAAGGAAGCGTAAAGAGATGAAATGCACATGGAGGTCTTATGCCCCTTCGAGACCCCTGCCAACCCCTAAGCAGGTCTAAGCAGCTGGAAAACTGGACAGAGCTTTCAGCAGATTCAAGGCCTAGAATAACCAAAATTGGAGGTTGGGGGCTCACCTTGAAGAAGGAGTCATTAAAAAGGTTTTAACCAGGTTTTCAGTTAAAATCCCTGAAGGGCTGTTATCTCCAAGTCAGGGCTAACTAGAAATAGACCAGGTCTCACAGGACTAAAGCCCAGAGTCAAACCTACCCCAATTCCACTTTTCTCAGAAGCAGAAGTAAATTCTTTCTGAAGGCATACCCAGAGTCTTGTACATCTCTTCATTTTAAAAAAATGTCTAGTATTCAATCCAAAAAATTGCCAGGAATACCAGGAGATCAAAGCAACTGACCCAAAAGCAAAAGAAACAGATCTACAGAAGAGCCCGATATTGGATTCAGCAGACATGGACTTCAAAATATCGAATCGAAGGAAATAGATGGAAATGGAGGATTCATTGAGAACTGTAAACTATTTTTTAAAGTTAATTAAATTGTACAGGATTAAATACTGATAGCTGAAATGAAGAACTCTAGTGAAAAGATCAACAGTCAATTAAACACAAGTGAGGGCAACAGTAATGGACTAGAATGTACGTCGGTAGAAAATATTCAGAGTAAATCCGAGGAACCAGAACAATGGAAAACACAGCGTCTTAAAGAGACAGTGAAAAGGTCTTAACTCACCTCTCATTAGAGTCCCAGGAGATGAGAGCAAAGGGGTAGAAGCTTTGATGAAAGATACTGCGTCACAGATTCAAGATGTGCTATGAACCCCAAGCAGGATAAATACAAAGAAATCTATATCTAGGCACATCAAAACCACTGCTGAAACCCGAAACGAAGAGAAAATTTTAAGAGCAACAAGACTCAGAGCTGACTTCACAAGAGAAACAGTGAAAGCCAAAGACATCTTCCAAAAGTTGAAAGGAAGTAACAGTAGGACCCTGGAATTCCTGACTTACAAAAAAAAAATATCTTTCAAAAATAAAAACAAAGTGGAGACTTTTCAGCAAACAAAACTCAATCTGTCAACAGAAGATCTACATGGGAAGGAAAATGTTAAAGGTATTTCTAAATAGACTAAATACTAAAGTATAGTATTTAGTACAGTATAGAATAGTATAGTATAGTATTTAGTATAGTATATGCTACACTAAAGAAAAATTCCAAAGGTAGTTCTAGGAGGGGAATGATCCAGATAAATGTATGAAAATGCAAGAAGAAACAAAGAGTAATGAAAAAGTAATACAGAATAACACGAAGTAAACATATGAATAAATCTAAATGAATACTGGCTACATCAAACAATATCTGTTGTGATTTAAAACACGGAGAGAATTGGGGATGGTTGGGGTGGAGGGGAAATGGAGACAACTGTCCTTGAACAACAATAAAAAATGTGAAAAAAAATAAAGTAAAACATGGAGAGAATTGAAACCTGTAACAATAGCACAGCAGGCAGAAAGGTGAATTCTGAAGTCGTTGGATTGTTCAGAAAGTGTTGCAAGAACTCACTTCGCACAGAAAGTCAGGGCTGCATGTTGCATCCAAGGTAACCACTAAAAGAAAAGAATACATTCCTCACAGGCTAATAGAAAAGAAATTACAAAAATTATGCAAAAGAAGGCAAAAAAAGGACAAAGAGAACACAGCAAAAGAGGATCAAAAGAAAGTAAAAAGCAAAATGGTACATATAAGCCCAAATCTATCTAATGTATCAGTAGTACATTAGACATAGCAGAGTAAATACTCCAGTTAAAAAAACAGAGACTGAATTTTTTTAAATCCCATACACCCACAAGAGGGATACCTTAAATATAAGGATACAGTAAGTTGAAAGTAAAAGGATGAACAAACATATACTATGTGAAGACTATTCAAAAGAAAGCTAATGTGTCAAAGTAAATTTTAAGACAAAAATCTAATATAGAGAGCTATTTCACAAAGCTGAAAGGGTCAGCCTATGTGATTTCTACATTTGTATGCATGTGACAACAGAGCAAAACTTGTCAGAAGCGAGTTATTCATAGCAGCATGATTCATAATTGCCAAATGTAGAAACAACCCAACTGGTGAATGGATGCACAAAATCTGGTCTAACCATGCAATGGAATATTATTCAGCCACTAAAAAGGAATAAAGTGCTAGTACTAGTACATGTTACAGCATGGATGAATCTTGAAATATGTTATGTGAAAAAAAACAGACACAGAAAGCCACATACAGTATGATTCCATTTAGATGAAATGTCCAGAATAAGGAAGTCTATAGAGAGAGCAAATAGATCAGTGGTTGTTGTGGGCTGGGGAGAGGAGGAATGGGGGGAAAGGGCAGGTGACGAAAATGTTCTAGAAGTCAGTAGTAGCCATGGCTGTGCAATCTTACGAACACACTAAAAAATACTGAATTGTATACTTTAAAATGGTGAATTTTATGGTATGTTAATTACACCGTATTTTTTTAACTATGTCATTAAAAAAAACAATTTGTCAGAAGTAAAAGGAGAAAGAAACCTACCCTCACAGTTGGAGATTTCCCTAGCTCTGTCGCTGGAAGAATAAGCAAACCTTGGGACAGAGGACATAGATTTGCACAAGGCCGGTGAAAGCAGAAGACGGCATGTGGCCGCTGCAGGAGGAAAGCAGTCACTGATGGAGCCCTCGCTATGTGCTTTACACACATCCCCTCAATGAACCCACCTATTATCTATCACACACCCCTCAACAGACGAGGAAATGGAGGTAAATGAGGAACAGAGAGGGGAGCATCTGGCCCGGAATCACCAGCTCACTCTTAACCTCCCTGCTCTACTGACTGTCTCCCAGTACTGAGTGTAAGAAAGATTTCACTAGAATCTGAATTCACATAAACACACCCTACGGCACTGGAGTAACTGAGGTCTGACGCAGCCTGAATAAACATAAACTGTTAATGACCTACTACATCAGCGAAAACATACATCGGGCACCTGCAGTAAACAAGACATAGTGAGAGATTTAAGAAAAATAGCAACAATTTATTGAGCTCTTATTCAAGCTTGCAACGCAAAGCTGCAAGCACTTCACATTTTTGACACCGGTTTACCCCCCCATCACCTGCTGGGCAGGCACTCTAATCCCCGTTCCACGCAGGACGAGCGAGACCTCAGGGTGGGAGGGACGCTGCTCCTGAGAGGCAGAGCTTGGGTGGGAATCCCTGTGACTGTGGAGTCCAATCGTCCACTTCGGGTCCGTGCCCCACCTTCACCGTCACCGTGGCTGTCGTGAGTGTAGCCTTCAAACTTAGGATGCACGCTCATTTGCTGAATCTGGTCTTCACAGACACCCTGTGAAGTAGGCAAGAGAGATGGCAGACTTTTCTGAATGAGAAACCTGAGGTGTGTACCTGGTGGGCACAGCTGAATGCCCCTCCCAGCGGGAGAGAGCGTCAGAAACAGAAGAGAGGAAAAAACACATGAGGGCTCTTTAAGCCCTAAAATGGGAAATCTGCTGTTCTGTCCTTTAACACACACTTCTGTGCTGTTACCACACTGGCCAGGACTTCACAGTTGGATGGTAACCATGGGCTTCTACCAATCATATTCCTGGCCCATATTGCCTCTGTGGCCGGTGACAGACAGTAATCACCTTCGTGAATAATTCTCCTTGAGCTAATCTGCCCTAAGAGTTGGCTAAAGAGAAATGCCTAACACAGCCATTCCCAAGGGCTGGTCTACAAATGATTTCTCTTCTCTGGCCCAGAGAAAGCAATGGTCAGACTCACCTTTTACATGGTTAAGTCATCCACATCATAACACTTCACATTTGCTGGACCCATTTGTAAAGTAGTGAACTGACACTCAGAAAGGTTAAGTGACCTCGCCAAGGTCACACTGCTAGGAGGCAGCAGATCTGGGTTGAGAATCCAGGTCTCCAGCCTGCTAGGCCAGGGTTCTGTCCAAAGGTACATCAGGTCTGAGGCACCTCAGCCACATGGGGCTATAGAATCTTTCTATGTGTACATAAAGGCATAAGAGACAGGCAGGCCAAGGGCTATAATGGAGCAGAAAACACTAGAAATTCCTGTAACTTTGGCTTTGGAAGGGCCATTAAAGAGTCATCTGATCTACCCTTTATATGGATGGTTAAACTGAGGAGCAACCAGAGTTACACAGCTAGGAGTGACAGTTCAGGACCAGAACCCAGGTCTATGCCAACCTCCTCACTCAGCTGAGTTTATTTAAGAGTTTATTTATTTATTTTGAGACAGAAGGAAAGGGAGACAGAGAGGGAGAGAAACTTCAATGTGCAGTTGCCTCTCATACATCCACTGATGGGGACCTGGCCTGCAAGCCAGACATGTGCCCTGACTGGGAATCGAACCAGTGACCTTTTGGTTCACAGGCCAGCACTCAATCCACTGAGCCACACCAGCCAAGGCTCAGATGATTTTAGAGAGCAATTTGCAAAAGCTACTATGGAGATGAAAAAGCAGTTAAGTCCTCTTTAGCAGGACCAGGCTGTGTACAAAGATAAGATGTAGTCTTTTTCTGCGAGAAGTTTATAGTCTGACTAGAAAAATAGGCATGTGCACAGAAAAACAGAATCAATAAGATAAAACATCAGTAAAGGCAGCAGCTACATCAGAATTTAAAGGAGGCAGACAGTAGCAGAACTGGCTGTGCTGGACAGCTTCCTAAGATTGGGATAAGCAAAGCTGGGCTTTGAAGCACGCATAGGAGCCCAACAGATAAAAAAGAATAGTAGGCATGTCAGTCCAGTAAAAGGTTTCAATGTAAACTTTTTATTTTGTGGGTGATGAGCCAAATTGCAGATGAAGGGCAGATTTAGGGGGCTGAGGAGCCTTTCAATGCCAGGCTAGAGCTTTTGGATTTGGGCCCATGGAATCATGGATCTTCAAATTTATTCAAGAGCAGAGAACCTGGAAGCCTCTGAGCTCTTCATGGAACTCCACGAAGACGACACTCACTCCAGTACAGTGACAGTGTCAGAAAACAGGGCTGTCACTCCGCATCTGCAATATAAAACCACAACGACAACCACGCATGCTCCAGAATGAAAGTCCTCAAGTCAGACAAAACACGTCTTCTCCAAGTAGTCCCACTGACAGTCATGTGTCATTGCTTTCCTTCCTCTGTCCCCTGGAAGCCTGTGTACAAGCGGACAGCAAGCACAGGTACCTCTGTTTTCCCTTAAGAATCAGAAGAGAAAGCTGTAAAAAGGAGAACATTCTGAGAATTCACTTCATTTGTTCAGACTGGGAAGAGGCAGGCTTGTCACTGCAGAGGCCCAAGGCCATGCCGCACAGGCAGCGTCCTCCCAGGGCCTCCGTTTCCCCAGCCGACACGAGGGGCTGGAGGTGGGCGCACCATCTGAGACCAGACTGTGGACACGTCTGGCCCAGTCTGGTCATCTTCACATTTGAGGGGCTCTCCTCCGGGAGGGCTGACAGAGTGGCCCTTCCGTCCAGGCCCATAGTTCCAAGCAGCATAGAGAGTAGTTTGTAGCTGGCCCAGCTTGGCAACCACGGCTTCAGAGAAGGACTAGAGTCATCATGGGATGTCAATAGCCAATTTTGTGCAGGGTCCTGGAGTGAGCATGACACCCCCTCGCTGGCATGACTGACACCTTTCAGAGTGCCCCAGATGCTTCTCTCCTCACCTCGGGCTCTCCATCGGCCACCATGGGCCCCTGAGGCCTCGCTGACTTCTCACCTTCCGTCTTGGAGGAAGATGAGTACCTTCGTCCCTACGTCACCTGGCCAGGAACGGGCAGCACCCGTTGCCCAGGATGTAGGCTTCTATGAGTTGGCAGGGGCATGGGACCTTTGGAGAGTCTGTGTGTCGTGTCCCCATGGCCTGGGGGAGCTGGGAGGTCACCAGGAGCCGGATGTAGTAGCCACCAAACACAGCCAGCAACTGCTGGGCCATTTCCTGGAAGAGGCCGGAAAGCAGAGTGAGCAACACAGAAAGCAGCTAATGCACGTGGGGAAGCCGAGCTGTCCTCACACCCCCGGGCCAGCAGTGATGCCCACTAAGGAGGAGGAACCTGGCCAGGCCTCCATCTGGGGCCCTCGGAAGATGCCTGGTCTGGTCTGGAATGCCGGCTCTGCAACTGACGCTATGGGGCCTCTGCAGCCTCGGTTTCCTCATTTCCGAGGGGGGTAACCTAACTGCTGATAGGTGGTAACAATATGCACAAAAATTGCCTCAAATTGCTAGAGAATTTAGCATTGACTCATCCCAGCCAGTCACGCTGTTTCCAGTTTCCAATGTCTGTGAGCCAGTAAAATCTGTGAGGTCAAGAAAACGCACTTGAAGAAAATCACTAGCGAGTAGGGGTGGGTGGGAACAGAATACCCCCACGATGGCGTGACTCTTCAATCCATGTCAGGGACCTGCTGGATTGCTTTAGGCAAGTGCTTCTACCATAGTAAGAGCTCACTTATAAAAACTGGATTTATCTCAAAAAGACAAATACGGTATGATTCCACCTATATGAGGTACCTAGAGCAGTAAATTCACAGACAGGACAGGACAGTGATTTCTGGGCGATGGGGGAGGGGGAGCTGGTGCTCAACGGGTGTGGTTGGGAAGATGGAGAAGTGCTGGGGACAGATGGTGGTGTCGTCGCACAACAAGGTGACTACTTATTGCCATGAATCGTACACTTAAAAATGATCAAGGTGGTAAGCTTTGCATTACGTATTTTACTGCAATGAGAAAAATTAAACAGTCAAAAGGAATTTTAGAAAGGATTTTTAGTGGCTGGATTTACACATGTTCTTATTAACTCAGTGGTCTCTGAAGTTCCGCCCGCTGGCCTGGCAGCTGGAATTCCAGGCAAACGCTTCCCGACATGTGGCACTGAACGTCTTTCGCAACATGTACTTGTGTCCAGTCTGAGTGTAATAAAGTGGGGTGCGGTTTGCAGCAGGCTGTTTATGTCAGTAGAGTCAGTGATTAAGAACAGGTTTTCAAATCGAAAGGCCAAGTGGAAATTTCAGCTCAGCCACCCTGTGACAGACCCTGAGCAAGCCACTTCATCTCGCTGAGCCTGTTTCTTTGCCAGTAAAAGAGGGGGAATCATAGCACCTACCTGGCTAGGCTGGGGTGAGGATTAAAAGAGCTAAGGGATAGAAAGCCTGGTACCTAGTGCTCAGTAAATGACATCAATATCATTACCACGATCGTTAGTTTTAAAAGGCAGGAACTCCCACTGAGCTCTGTGGCGTCTGTGTTTCATATGTACTAAAAAATAGTTATCTTTTGTGCTAGAAAATACTGAAAACTTCAATGAGTCTACTAGTTACTAACTCAGCTTGGTCTTCTCGCTCATGTACTCTAAAATCAATAACCTAAGAAACAAAGAGCTGTGACAAAAAAAAAAACTGGCCTACTTAGAATCAGTAGGGTTGGCTTCTGGTCTAGCCTTTGCCACATTCTCCATTGCTCTGTGAACTTGGGCAAGTCAGTTGACTTCTTAGAAACTATTTCATCCACCAGAGAAGAAATAATTCCATCCTCAGAAGGTATGCTAAAGAATTTTATGTAAAATTTTAAAAAGCTACTAAGCCCTGGCTGGTGTGACTCAGTGGGACTGAGTGCCGGCCTGCAAACCAGAGAGTCACCAGTTTGAGTTCCAGTCAGGGCACATGCCTTGGTTGTGGGCCAGGTCCCCAGTAGGGGGCGCTCAAGAGGCAACCACATATTGATGTATCTCTCCCTTTCTTTCTCCCTCCCTTCCCCTCTCTATAAAAATAAATAAATAAAATACTTTCTTTTTAAAGCTGTTAAAATGTAAAAGGTCATTATAACTATTTCTCCATTTCCCATAGGCACTGGTTTCCCACTGAAATACGACAGCCTGGCCCATGCTGAGACTTGGACATTGATTATGTTTTTTCCTCGCTAAGTTATCAGGGCAGCTACTTAAAAAGCATGGACACACACTGAGATTTGATATTCACGGCAGGAAATTGTATTACTATTGATTTGAATGAATTTGAAAAAATAATTTAAAAGACCCATTATATTTAATAGGCTATTTCGCATAAACCCAGACATGCGTGCCACAATAAAGTACATGACTTTAGCAATCTTTTGTGTTCTTAAAAAAGAAAAGTCAATGGGACTCAGGGAAAGAGATTAATGTATTTGTCATGTTCTCTTGGAGTAGCTCTACTTGCAGGACCCTCACTCCCCACCCGTGCAAAAGGGAAAGTCTGGGCTGGTTTGGGCATTTAATCCCCAGCTCTGTCACCATTGAAGAAAATGCAAGTGCTCCCCTGCACCCCACCGTGCCTGAGGTCACCCTCACTACAGGTCTCCCAGACGGTGAATCTGTCCTCACAGTGAGAAGAGGGTAGGTAGCATAGGCTACAGACACATCAGATTTCTGGTCTACCAGCATTTGGTCAAACCCAACGGAGAGCTTAGCAGGACCAACAGAACTCTGAGGCTGGAGGAACTAGAATTCCACAGACATGCATATAAGATTTAAATATCTAACTGCAATTCAAGTAGATGGATGGATTAATAAAATGATTTAAAAATGATACAAATATTCATCAACATGTTCATGGTTAGGTAGGCAATCTTTGATCCATCAACACACAACTGTACATCCAGTGGAACCACTAAAAAGAATATCCAAGATATTTTTTAAAGGGGGTGTTGGGGAACCAAGTGAGTAGCAAATGACTCCTATAAACTATTTTTTAAAGTGCTGGGGTAAAAGGAAAAATATTGAAAACCAGTAGGCTAGATCTGCATAGTCTTTACCAACTCAGTAAAGTCATGCGCCCCGGAATGTACACCTTGAGGTCCCCACTCAGACTCTATGTAAATACCCCATGAGAGAAGGTGACCCCAACTGGCCCAGGTGCCATTACCTCCGGCTCCGCCTCAGGAACAAGCTGGTGAAGCTCGGTCTGCATGAGCGGCCTGTCTGCGGGATGAGGGCTGCTGGGCAGGAGAGGAGTGTCCTCCAACAGGTTCTCAGGCCCCTCCAGCGGCGGTGTGGGGCTCACCCCAGTCTCCATGACAACACAGAGCTGGCTCAATCTGCTTTTCAGCAAGGACTGCAAACGAAACAGAGAGGGAGCAAGGGTGGTGTCCTAAGTTGAGTGGCATGTGGGAGGCCAAGTCGCTGTCTGAGCTGCAGACCCACAGAAGACAGACGGGCCTTCTATAGACTCAGAGGCTGACCTCGGGAGACTGTGCAGTTGAGAGATTGGGAAATTCCCTTAAAAGCTTCTAAAGCACTTCTCCTTCCAAGCTCTCATTGGCTCCTCAAAGTGACCTGGGATGGGGATATTTTTATCTGTACACTGCAGATGAGCAAACTGAAGCTCAAAGGCTTTGCCCCAAGCCATGCAGAAGCTAATGGGCCAAGGTGAGGGCTAAACCACAATCCTGATTTCAAGACTGACTACAGCGCCCAGGAAAAAGCTGATCCCAGAGGAGGAGGCCAGGGCTTGGAGACAGGAGGGCTGCCTCCAAACTGGGCATCACCAACCTGCTCTGTGACCAACCAACAGTGCCGACAGGACTACTCGGAGCCTCAGTTTCCTCATCTGTGGAGTCAGAGCAAAAGTCCCACGATCTTCTTCACAGATGGCAGAACAAGTGAAAGTCATCTAACCACGAGGTACTTTCCTCTACCGGCATCTTTATTATTATTCCTATTAATTATTATTATGTAATAAATAAATATATGCTCACTATAGGAAATGTGGAAAATACCAATAGTTAAAAAGGAGATTGGTTAAAATGTGGTTAGTTAAAAAGGCTTAATTCCCTAGGCCAAATAATCACTGACTTGACATAGATGGTCTTCCTCCTAAGTAGTGATGCAATCTATACAATTCGGTCTCCTGGGTTTTTTTGTTTGCTTGTTTTTCATTTAAGGTATCTTACCTCTTGGCTAGTCTTCATTTCTCGAATATGTTCAGACAAAAACTGCACACAGTTCTCCAGGTCAAAGTAGACAAACCAGAGCTGGGGAGAAAAGAAGCTATGAGCCCTGAGGTTCAATGCCAGTCCCTGAGATGGTCTTCTACCTCCTGCCTCCTTGCCAGAGGTCCATCCTTCTGTGGACCCCTGGGTTTATCCTGTTCTCTAGCAGAAACACATCATTCTGCTCTCGCCTAGGGTCCCCATCAATGAGGATATCTCCTTTGTACAGCTGACAGAAAGACGGCTCTGAGGGTAAACCTGTTCGCCATGGCTGCAGCCCCACCCCCCCCACATCACTAAGCATCTGACAGACTCCAGACCCTCCTGGACATCATGGATCCATCCAGGGCTACCACCTTCATCTTCAGAGACCACGTGCCCTTCTGTCTGGAAACCAACAGGCAAATGAGTGAACCCTTCAGAGCTGTCCCCCTTACTGGCCCCAGCCAAGTCAGAGGTCATCAACCCGGGTGCTCTGTGGGGAGGGGAGCAGGGGAAGAAGTCCACACCTCACCATTACCTCCCCTTCCTCCACAACCCCAACAGCCCCCAGAAAGCCAGACTAAACTTAGATGAAGCCAAAATCGTCTATGTTCACACATGACATCACCTTGTCAGGTCCACACCTGCCACACGTCACCCAAGTTCTGCAAGAAACTGGGAGCCCATGTCTCACACCTCCAGTCGCTGACCACTTCCTCTGGATCCCAGGCCTCCCTCCTCCCAGGGACTGACCCATGGGAGCCAAGGCCCCGTCCCTCTTGCCAATGAACCCCTCCCATTGTCTCATCCCCAAGGGAACATTTTTTCAATTTCTTTTTTACTTTTCATTATGAAAGTTTCCAAACAAACACAAAAGTAGAGCAAATGATGTCATTAACTTCCAGCTGCCCCGATCTGGGGTCAACAGCCACCACCTCATGACTGCTCTTGCTTCTTCTCTACCCACCCCGTCACTCACCCAGACACTCTCCATCCCCGACCCCACCCATCTCAATGGTCTTACAGAAAATCCAAGCGATTGTATCACCTCGTCCCCAAAACACTACTTTGAAACTGAAAGAACCCAATTATTTTAAAAGATGTGTTCATTCACAAGTCACCCACTTGCCAAGTCACCCCATGTGCCAATCCATAAAGAGGATCTGGAGAAAAACAAGGCTGAGAAGACCCCTGATCCAAGGACCTCTCAGTCTCTCTGTCACACTTGAACTGCCAGCCATCTTACGATGCCATCGAGTTCACCCCCTGCTGTCAGCCAAGCTCCCCTGTCACTCTACACCATCTCAGGTGTGCCGGGCTCCATAAACACAGGGATCTGCATGTATCTGCCCTCTGCTGAAGCCCCAGTACCTAGAACCCGGCACATACTAGGCTCTCAGTAAATATCTGTGAGATGAACAGGAGGCGTGCACAAGGAGATTCTTCCCAGGTCCCAGCCACCAGCCCACCCCGGTGCTCCCACCGGGCAAGGGGCAATGACAGGTGAGAAGGCAGATGCAATGTTGAGAAGATTTAGCAACCCCATGTGGGGAGCCCAGTCAACACCAGGAGACCTGGGGCTCATCTAACCCAGCTGTGGCCCAGACCCATTGTGTGACCTCACGCTAGTCAGCTGAGATTTCCCCACTGTCTTTGGGGTAAAGAAATCAATGGAGCCAGGCAGACAATGCCTTCGGGATCCCACCTGCCCCTCCTGGAGCCTTGCATGGGCCCTGCATGGGCCCCTCAGTGCTTGGCACAGAAGAGACCACGTCTGTTGGTGAGTCAATGCTGAATGTGGAACGAGGCGTGGACAGTCCTTGAGCTTCCCCTCCAGGCCTGCCTCGGAGGTGCTAGGCTGCAGGTTACCACCCAGAAAAGAGTCTCCAGGAAGGAACGCTGGAGCAAAGGGGAAGAGAAGGACTGCCTACACCATCTCATTAGCAGACTCTGCAAGACGTTGGGCAGACTGGGAGAACGTGGGCCCCCCACTCCCCATCAGCCCAGCCCAGCCCTAAAGTGGGCCCTTGGGGAGAGGTCACCCCGACACACGGTACCTGAATCACGCTCTGGCAGCCTTCCACCGTGTCCGTCACCCCCAACAGCACCCGGTGCCGCAGCAGGGCTTCGTTGGCAGCCGTCAGCCTTAGGTCCGTGTTGGTGTTGGCCTGTAAGACAAACGTCAGCCTTGTGGCCAGATGTCCACGCTGCCAGGGAGCTCTTGGGTCCCAGAAAGAACCACACACGGTCCCACCACTAGACACCATGGGACAATCCTCTTCTTCAAGACACACCCATCCTCCTATGAAATGGGACTGTGGAGTTGCTGAGACAATACATTCCATAGTGTCAGACAGCCCTCGGGTGAGCCCAGCTCTCCTACTTTCTGGCAGTGTGGCTTGGGCAGGCTATGTTGCTTCCCTCAGTCTTGCTGTCTTCAATGGTACAGTAAAGATAAAGGGTATCTCTGCCTCCTAGGGATGTGGGGAGATTTACTGAGTTTGCGTGTGTGAAGCACTCAGGCCACTGCCTGGAACACAGTCAGCTGTCATAGGCATCTGCAGGAGGAGGGGGGATAGAGGGGAGATGGGGGGAAGATAGGGGGTGGGCGAGCATTTATTGTGTAAGCAAAGCACCTACTCTGTCTATAAGGCACCTACTTTCCAAAGTACCCAGCACAGTGCCTGGCCCCTCAGCATAAGGGGTGGGGGGTGTACTTTGCAACTCTGTCTCCTTCTTTTCCCACCCAAACCAATGTCATTGTAGAGTCAGTTGACAAAGTAGACGCTAAACAGGCTGGTAAGGAGAAGAGAGAAGAAAGGTGTCAGGATTCAAAGTGCTGCTGTGGGAAAGAGACAGCCCCCTCCAAGGGCTTTCAGATGCAATTAGAAGGCAGTTCACTCAAGGACAATGGTTTTCTAAACATCGGGACCCCTGTAGGGAGCTTTTGGAAATGTAAGAAGACCCTTTTGATAGTCATAGGGATGGGAAGGGCAAACCTGGCACTTAGAGACAAGAGCCAGGGATGTTAAATGTGTGCCTTTTAGTGAAGGCCATGTCCCATGAGACAATCCCACACACGGAATTGTCTCCCAGCCAACCTGAACTAAAAGACACACTGAGTGAAAATGCAGGTGAAAAATATGCTTATAATTCTCCAAAGGGCCAACCTAACTCCATTGAACATGTAAACCCATAAAGTGCATTTGTTTTTAAACAGGTTTAAAATATAGTGAATTTTCCAGAAATGCCACTGTCTGAAAATCAAGAGATGATTATATTTTGTTTTGCCTAAAATATTTGCAAGGGTTGCTCACCCTTTCAGAAGCATGAGTCACCAGACCTGATGGAGACGTAGATAGATAGGCTTTGCGTCCTCCCACAACCAAAAGGACAACAACAAATTTAAAAACAAAAAATAACCAGAACCACCAGAAAATCAAACTGTATGGAAGTCCAACAACCAAGGAGTTAAAGAAGAAACAATCATCCAGAACGGTGCACCAAGACAAAGATATATGGCCCAAATGGAAGAACAGATCAAAACTTCAGAAAATGAACTAAGCAACATGGAGATAGCCAACCTATCAGATGCTGAGTTCCAAACACTGGTAATCAGGTGTCAGGATGCTCAGTGAGATGACTGAGTACGAATGCAAAATAAAGGAAGAAGTGAAGGCTATGCAAAGTGAAATAAAGAAAAATATACAGGGAACCAACAGTGAAGGGAAGGAAATCAGGACTCAAATCAATGATTTGGAGCAGAAGGAAGAAATAAACATTCAACTGGAACAGAATGAAGAAACAAGAAGTCAAAAAAATGAGGAGAGGTTGAGGAACCTCTAGGACAACTTGAAACATTCCAACATCCGAATCATAAGGGTGTCAGAAGGAGAAGCGGAAGAGCAAGAAATGGAAAACTTATTTGAAAAAATAATGAAGGAAAACATCCCCAATCTGGCAAAGGAAATAGACTTCCAGGAAGTCGAAGAGGCTCAGAGAGTCCCAAAGAAGTTGGACCCAAGGAGGAACACACCAAGGCACATCATAATTAAATTACCCAAGATTAAAGATAAGGAGAGAATATTAAAAGCAGAAAGAGAAAAGGAGACAGTTACCTACAAAGGAGTGCCCATACAACTATCAGCTGATTTCTCCAATGAAACCTTGCAGGCAAGAAGGGGCTAGAAAGTATTCAAAGTAATGAAAGGCAAGGACCTACATCCAAGATAACTCTATCCAGCAAAGCTATCATTTAGAATGGAAGGGCAGATAAAGTGCTTCCCAGATAAGGTAAAGTTAAAGGAGTTCATCATCACCAAGCCCTTATTATATGAAATGTTGAAGAGACTTGTCTAAGAAAAAGATCAAAATTATGAACAGTAAAATGACAACAAACTCACAACTATCAACAATTGAACCTAAAAAACAAAAACAAACTAAGCAAACAACTAGAACAGGAACATAATCACAAAAATGGAGATTATAAGGAGAGTTATCAGTGGGGAGGGGGAAGGGTGAATGGGGGAAAAGGTACAGGGAATAAGAAGCATAATTGGTGGGTACAAAGTAGACAGGGGGAGGTTAAGAATAGTATGAGAAATGGAGAAGCCGAAGAACTGATATGTATGACCCATGGACATGAACTAAGGAGGGTGTGGGAATGCTGGTGGGAAAGGGGGTGCATGGCAGAGGGGAATAAAGGGGAGAAAAAATGGTACAACTGCAATAGCATACTCAATAAAATATATTTAAAAAAAAAGAAGGCTGCATCACCAAAAGTTCAAATCCTGACTCAATTTCTCCCTACCTGCATAATTTGGCGCAAATTACTATCTCTCTGCCTCCCATCTCCTCATCTCCAAGTTGGAGATACGAACATTCCCTTATAATAAGGGTTATAATAAGGATGAAATGAGTTCACCCACATAGAATACTTTGAAGAATAAACACTCAATACATGTCAGGCAATGATATCATTACAATGATGATACTGAATGGAAAACTCATTGTTTTCCACTGTACATACTGGCCGCAAATATCTTTAGAGACTTCCCACATGCCTTAGCAATGTGCTTTACTCTGTAGGGGGCGCAAGACAGGGGTGTGCCTGCCTTCACAAACCTTCCCATTTTGAGAAAGCCTATTACTGCCCCACACAAGGGGAAGACAAGGCACTGTATGCAAAGTGCTAAGGCTCTGAAGGATGCTACCTGAGGCAGGTAGGACACTAGCAGTAAGAATGACAATGGTCAGGAAGGGGAACATGCATGGTCCTGAATGATAAGGGGTCCAAGGAGGAAGAAGTCCTTGAGCTGAGGCAAGACCTGAGGAGGCTGCATGGCCATGGACTGCTTACTTAACCTGTCTGAGCCTTTTCCTTCACTGGCCAACAGAGTCAATAATCATAAGACTAACACTTGGTGAGCATTTACCTTATACCAGGTACGATTATACACACTTGCATGTATTAAGTCATTTAATTCTCCGAACAACCTGCGGGGTGGACACTACAATTATTATCCCATTTCACAGATGAGGAAACTAAGGCCCTGGGAGGTACAGTAATAACTCACCCCAGGTTGCAGAGCTAGCAGACGGCACAGGTATCCTGCCTCCTTGTCAGGCTGTTGTTGGACATGGATATCAGGTTCCAAAGTCAGAGCACATAGCGGGTGCTCATTCAATGGTAGGCTTTGCTAGGAAGGAAAGGACCTTGAAGGGGTTCTCTGAATGAGCAAATAGTGATGACAGGAGTGCCACTGCCTACCTCAGGCCTCCAGCTGCACCTGCTGGGTACAGACACAAGGTCTTGCTCATCTCTGCCTTGTGCCTGGCACATTCCCTAGTACTCGCAGGGGCTTCATAGATACTGACCGAACAAGGATGGAAGAGGGGAAAGGAGGCGGCCACAGTAAGTGTTCCCTGAACAGCACTGATTACAGCTGCATCCTTGATGCACCTGCCAGGTGCACATTTTTCGCTTGCTCCTGCTAAAGCAGAAAATAGCTTGCTTTTTCCCCTGTGCCAAGAGAAGTTTCTTGCTGCAGGAACAGCCCATTCCATTTTTTTTTATAGGCCAAGTGCAAGGCCATGAAATCTTCAACAAAATCTAAGGCAGCATTATTTTGTCAGCTTTGTTGCAAAAGCCAAACAAACATCTTTCCAGAATGAGCACTAAATGGAACTCACACCCCGAATTCTGGCCACATCTGCCAACACCCCACCCTCTGTTCCTGGCTCACGCAAGAGCAGAGTGTTTGCTCAAGATCTCTGAGTCCAGCTCTGTGCCAGGTGCTGGGGAGCTTTCTAAGCACTGGAAAGAGGTGTGGCAGGCAGAATAATGCGCCCCCCACTCAAGATTCTAAGTCCTCCTCCCCAGAACCTGTGAATAGGTTACATTACATGGCAAAGGGGAATGGAGGCTGTAGATGGAACTAACATTGTTAATTAGCTGGCCTTAACATAAGGAGCTTGCCCCAGATTATCCAGGCAGACCAGCGTAGTCACAAGGGACCTTAAATGTGGAAGAAGGAGGCAGGAAGACTCAGGGTCAAAGGCGTGAGAAGGACTCGATCCACCCCTCGATCTGCCACTGGTGGCTTTGACGATGAAGGAAACAGGAGCCAAGGAATGCAGGCGGCCTCCAGGAAAAGGCAAGGAGACAGAGTCTCCCCTAGAAGCTCCAGAGAGGATGCAGCAGGCTGTAAGGTAGTTAATTTGTTACCACGTTTATGGCAATCTGCTACAACACCCAGGAAATACCAAGAGAGCCGGGTATCAATTGAGAACATAGCTTGGAATCTAAGTGTCCTGGCCTTGAATTCCAGCTCTGCCATTTATTACCAGCATGGCCTTGGACTACTCCTTGAACCTTTAGGAGCCTCGGGTTCCTCATCTGTAAAATGAGTGTAAAAGACTAACCCAGCGATTTATTGGAGGGGTTTCATGAGTTAATTACATAACGCATTTAACAGACGATCAACCACATATGAAGCACTCAGTAAGTAACAAAAGACCGACGTTAAAGGAGCAGAACATAATTAGTGAGCCAGGAGATATCAATCTCCTTTGTTGAATGAGATCAGGAATCAGAGGGCTCTGAATCCCTGCTCTGCCGCTCACAGTGGGGTGAGGCCGAGTAACCTAATTCTCTGACCACCCACTCACTGCCTCAGAAGGTGCTGCTGGAGTCAAATGAGACAGGACTATCAACAGAGCCCAGAGCCAGCACCCACCCACCTCCCTCAGCCCCAGGCACCTTGCACTTAGTAACCCCTCCTCACTCAGAGCTGTCCTGAGCATCCAGGGGTGGAGGTGTGTGGAAGGACTCAGTAATCACTAAGTGCCATACACACACTAGCCAGTATGTGCCCTCCTCCCACCTCCCAGGCGCTCTCAAAACACAGCTTGCTTCCAGAAAAACAACCCACAGGGATTAGACAGGAAAGACAGGATTCAATCACACATGTGATTTAATTTCTTTCAGTCACTGGGCACATGGGCCAGTGTGAACTCCAAGGTTGGAGCAATCTGTTGAAGCGGGTGAAAGAGAAAAACTCTCACTTGGGATCCACCTGCCCACAGAGCCCTTTGCAGGGGGTGTGGCTGGGGTCTCGGGACATCTCACCTTCCTCTGGTGTCTCTCGAAGATGAGCATGAGAGTCAGGGTCAGGCTCATCGCAGCCAGGGTCACGAGCAGCACACCCACCCAGTGGTTCCCCGGGGCAAACAGCTGGCTGGTGGAGTAGATGTTGGCCCACACCACCACGTAGAAAACCTGTGAAAAGCCAAGCCAAGAGCAAGGTCAGGAACACCAGTCCTTGAGCAAAGCAGCTCCAATCAAGGGGACACCCCTGGACACTGGTGACAACTCCTTGGATTCACAGAGCTCACAGAGCCTGTGAGAATGAGTCCTTGTTCCCGGATCATAAGTGAAGGTAGAGAAACGGGGTTAGAAGAGTTACTCCAAATCCCTGCTTGCCCTGGTTTTAAATAAAATGGAAAAGGGCAGCCGGCTTTGGAGGTAGAGAAATAGGAGTCAGAAACCCACATTGATCCTTCAACAGCTGTGTGGCCTAGACAACTTATAACGACTCTCTGAGCCTCACTTTCCTCATCTGTACAATGAGGATGATACCTACTTCACAGCACTAATATAAGCATTAATAAGATAACATGTTAACAACCCAGCACTTATCAGAAAATTAACAAAAGCTGGCTGCCATCCTTTGCCCTTCCTGAGAAGCAGGACATAGGGGTTAGGAGTACTCCAACCATTTAGAGACGAAGCAAGTCATGGTGGTTAAGAGTGGCTAAACCAGACTGCCTGGGTTCAAGTACTGGCTCTGCCATATATATATATATATATATGTGTGTGTGTGTGTGTATGTTGGAGTATATTTGTAGGTGTATGCGTATGTTTATATGTGTATGTATATATGTGTAAACACACACACACACACACACACACGATTAGCGCTCAAATGGACCCATCTGTTGAACAAACGGGGAAACCAAGCCCCAGAGAGGAGAAAAGTCTTGACCAAGGCCAGACACTGAGTCTAAAGCCTCGGTGATGGGTCTGCAGCTCTCCAAGCCCAAGCTCTGCCCTCAGGAATCCCTGCCTCCCATCCTTTACGTGGGGGCCTGGCTACAACTCTCTGCCATAAATTTCCTCTTATAGGAAATGCAGGTGCATGTGTGCTGCCCTCTCCCAGGCAGCTGGGCCACCAGCCCCCAGGCCCCTTCCCCACAGCAACAGGCTGCAGCACGGGACGCTGAATTCCGCAGTGCCACGGGGGCTGCAGCGGGGCAGCATGGGCCCACCTCCCTCCTTACCACAGCAAAGGCCAGCCGCATGGGCCTGGAGTTGTAGATGATGTATCTTCTCACTTGGGGCTCCAAGAGGGCACTCTCAGCCAAGCTCCTGTACTGGTCAGCCGGGACCTGCTTGGCCACCCAAGAGAAAGGGATCACTCAGCTGCAGAGAGCCCCTCCCCACCTCCTTCCTGCCAGCGCACATGTCATTTCCCGTTCACATGGCGATCACTCGGAAGGAGGATCCAGCTCTCTGTGGGCTGGACCAGAAGGCTGAATGAGGAGCTCAGAGAGCTGACGGCAATCACAGGGTGCAGCTCCCAGCTCAGGGAAGGCCAGGCACCAAGGGGGAGGTGGGACAGCTCCAGAGGACATCCCACAGAGGGACCCCCGCAGCCCAAGGTTCAGTCCCTCACAGCAGACCCAGCAGAGCCTTAATGGTGAAGGCACAGACCCGGGAGTCAGCCAGCCCTGGGTGCAAACCTTGGCCCTGCCACTCATGTGCTGGGTGACCTGGAAAAAGTAACTCCCCTTCTCTGAGTCTCTGACTTCTCCTCTGTAAAACAAGGATACTAAGAGTACCCCACCTTATAGAGGTAGCGTGCCTTTAATAAGATAATACATATACAGTACTGATACATGCATTACATAGTGTGTATGTATATGTATATACATATTATCTGGACATCTTTGGGGGTCCTGGTTCTGCTTTCCACAGTCGGTATGTCTTACTTGGACACGCACGTGTATCTAAGGATATGGGTATACTGGTGCAGTGCTGGGTCCACAGTGAACACTAGATACACAAGTGCTATTACCAACACTGCAAAATCAGGTAAGTATTCACACAGTCCACAGTATTGAAAACTCGCATCTTCCTGCCCAAACAAAAATGCCACGTTGTAAAAAGGCCTAACGAGAGTGGGCTGCTTAAGAAATCAGAATTTAACCATGAAAGATGAACAGCAGAACAGTATGTAAACAGTTTGTGGGCTAACAAAACCCCGTCTAAAGATAACTGTTTAAAAACAAATGTTCTTCTAAACAAAGACTGAAAGGAAACGTGGGACGATAAACCAGCTGTTGTGCTGATGTGGGCTTGGTGCTATCAATTTGGAAGGTTTCCCCTTAATGGTGATAAAATGTTGTGTTAAACAGTAATGCAATGCAGCTTAAAGAAGTAATCTCTCAAGCCTGCAAGGGAAAATGAGCAGTGTATCTTCCCCACGCCCAGTTTGTCCTCCCTGGGGGGAGCAGGGGGAAGAGAACCGCAACTCTGGGCACTTAATGACAACAGCAATACAATTTATTGAACACTTACTACGTGCCAGAGACAGTGCAAGTGTTCCTCCGGCATTATCTCACTTAATCTCCACGAAAACCTTAGGTAACGGCATTAATATCGCCCTTGGCATTATCAGCCAATGAATCCATATACGTTTCCCTCCCCTGAAATGCCCTTCCTCCTGCCAACCCAGCCAACTCCTGTTTTTCCTCAAGATCCCAGACCAGTGTCTGCTCCTCAGTGGACCTTCCATAACCACGGCCCGCACCCCTGGCAGGTTGACCACGTTCTCAGTGAAGGTCTTCAATGCCTTACACAGCCCTCTACTGCAGCATTCCTGTCACACTGTCCGATCCATCCGGCGTATGCCCATCTCCCCGACTGGGCTCAGGAGCCGTGTGAGCACAGGCACTGGGGCCTGTTCACTTCTGCAGTGTCTAGTGCGCGGCTGAGTGCCTGGTGCAGAGTGGGGAAGGGAGGACAATTCTAATTCATCTTCCTTCTCTCTCACACCATAGCAAGCATACAGTATTTAATAAATATTTTGTGAATAACTGGATGAAAGGCAAGATAGATAGGCAGATGGGAGGACAGAAGGAAAACGGTAAGGACTTCATAAAATCAGCACTCACCTGAATGCCCCAGGTCTGCAGCTGCTCTTCTGCGGCTCCCAGATCAAAGGAGATAGGTGCACAGGTATTATCGATCCGGAGAACTGTAAGGACCTGGCCATTGCAGAGCTCTGAAAGCAGACAGAAGCTTCATCTGGCTGAGCGGTAACTACTACTTGGAGGAGCCCAGAGCCTGATGGCATCACCTCCTCATGGCAGGGAGGCATAGGGGGCTAATCCCTACAGAAGAACTGGAGTTGACAGGAAAGCCCCCAGGAGGCAGAACTGAGGCCAGAGGGTGGAGGCTATTAGGATGCAATGCAAGACCACATAAGGAAGAATTTCCCCAAAAGAGAGCTGTCCACAGCCACACACAGATGGGAGGTAGTGAGCTTCCCATCACAAGGGATATTTAAACAGACAACAATTAACTACATTGAGGAGATGACGTAGCAAACATTCATTCAAGCACTGCTCTGCCAAGTAACTCTTGCATTCCCAGTGGACACAAGAGTGTGAATAAGATAACCAACTATGATAGGCAGAACCATGGACCCCCCAAAGATACCACGCCCCACTCCCCGGAACCTGTGCATGTGTTATTGTACAGGGCAAAGGACAATTAAAGTTGCTAATGGACTTAACACTGCTCATCAGCTGGCCGTAAACAGAGAGATCATCCTGGATCATCTGGGTGGGCCCAACGTAACTATAAGGATCCTTAGAAGTGGAAGAGGGGGCAAAAGAGTGAGGAGGGATGGTAGAAAGGCACAGAGAGATGGATCACTGCTGGCTCTGACGATGGAGGAAGGATTCGTGAGCTAAGGAGTGTGGGCAGCCTTGAGAAGCTGGAAAAGGAAAGAAAACAGAGTGTCCCCCAAGCCTCCGGAAGGAATGCAGCCCTGCCGATGCCATGAGGACTTCCACTCAGTGAGGTCAGAGGCCAGCTTCTAATTCACAGAACTGTGAGCGGATAAGCGTGTGTTTGCAAGCCACTATGGCGGTGGTAATTGGTTGCAGCAACTACACACAACTCATACACTGACTGACTGATAACCCCTCCCAGTGTATCCGCAACTCACTCGACATTTTAAAAACATAAATCTTGAGCTCAAAAAACACACCCCATTAGCGCAGGTTGCTCACAACAGGCATCAGAACTCTTGCCCTGCAGGCCTGCGATGAGATCAGACTGAGGCCGAGGCCAGCTGGACTGAAAGCTCGGGGCTGGAACTCCCTCCGGTGCAGGGAGTAAGGGTGGCAGAGTGACGCTGAACCTTCCTTCAGATCTCAGCAGAGGGGCTGGACAAAACCGTAAGCTGGCCAGTCTGGTGTTCAATCTGTAACTCTGCCTCTCGCTAACAGGGTACCCTTGGAGAAGCAACTAAATCCCGGGCCATCTACTTAGAGGTTGGTCCCTCTAAGTCCCCTGCAGAAGACTTTTCAAATAATGAAAATACAATGCTCGGCCCAAAATGGATGCTGAGTAACCGTTGGTCACTCTTCTTGTCATATCTTAAAAGCAAGCACAACAGAAAAAGTTACAACACAGCAACGCTGATTCTGTTGTACAGCTGATCGACCCTTGAACAACTCGGGGTGAGGAGCACCGACCCCTCTCCTGCCCCTCCCCTCACAGTTGAAAATCCAGGTATGACTTCTGAATCCCTCGAAACCTAAGCTGTCCCTCAGCACCCACGGGGGACTGGTTCCAGGACCCGGCACAGATAACGAGATCCGCAGCCGCTCAAGCCCCGCGTGTAAAAGGCACAGACCAGGGCCTGCGTTCGGCCCTCCACATCTGCAGTCTCCCAGCCACCGACGGAAAATGTCCAGGTGTTTACTGAGAAACATCGGCATGCTAAGTGGGTTCGCACAGTTCAAACGCATGTTGTTCAAGGGTCAACTGTATTTGTTTTCACCCTCCCATACCAGAAAGGATTTAAGGGGGCTTCATAAAAATAAATTTTGAAAAGATAAAATTAGATCGATAACCATTATCACGGAAAAGGAAACAGAGCCTCCAAAAGGTGAACAAAGGAACTGGACCAATGTCACCTGGGGAGATGCAAGTAAGAAAGGGGAGAAGCACCCTGACCCATTTGTGGCTCAGTGGGCTGGGTGTCATCCCACAAAAGTGAGAGATTGTCGGTTCGATTCCCAGTCAGGGCACATGCCCAGATTGTGGGTTCAGTCTCTGATTGGGGCACATATGAAAGGCTACCAATCAATGTCTCTCTCTCACATCGATGTTTCTCTTCCTCTCTTTCTCTCCCTTTCCCTCTCTCTAAAAGTAAATGAGTGAATAAATTGTTTAGAAAAAAAGGAACAAAGGTGTGCACAAAAGCAGGCACGCACACTGGATGGGGCCCGACTCCCTCTCCCAACTCACAGCATCGAATGGGACGCCCACGTAGGTTTGGACTCAACACGTGGAGGGTGTCACCCGCCCCCCGCCCCCCCCAGCCAGCTCTCTGCACGCTGAGCAAAGGGTTTGCCTGAGCAATGCAAAGACTCCACGGTTCCTTTGTTTGCCTCCAGAACCATGGGTTCCTGGGTTCTTGGCAACAACCTTTTTCATCTATTCCTTAAAGTGAGATCAGTGAGTTTCTCTACTTGGATATACTTGTTTTTACACCTAGATTAGGGGGAAAGATCTGAAAAGCTGCCTCTGTGTGTGTAGGGGAAGCGATTTCCTACTAAGGAATAAGAACCGGTTTGCCAAAAATCAGCAGAGTGACGTGTTCAAAGTTCCGGAGGAAAATTATTTCACTCTGTTTCATTCTGTTGCTTGTGTATGTGTGTGTGTAAATTGCTTTCCTAATGAGAGCGGTAAAAAAAAAGAACCCCTGTTTTTAGGTAGCCAAGTCTCAAATTATGTAAGAAACCAGCCACGTTTCTGTTAAGCATCTGCTATGGCCCAACTGTAGCAGTGGCTCAGGTCCCAACCCCCACCCCTGCTCTGGCCCCCACTCCCACACCTGCGTCTGTCGCTCCAGCATCAACGGCAGCATCTTCTGAGCCTGCACCTGCTAGCATAACAGAACAGGAGAGCCCTGCAGAAAAGCCAGCAGAAACACCGGGGGTTGCTAGCCCGACGTCAACTGACAGCGCTGTACGTTGGGAGATTCTTGCCGGTCTTTCTGAGGAGGCAACCAGTGCGCTTGTAGCAGGTCAGTCTTATGAGAATACAGTAACTGAGATCTTGTCACGGGGCTCTGAACCGGAGCGAGTAATTGCAGCCCTGAGAGCCAGTTTCAACCCTGACAGAGTAGTTGGGTATCATTTAATGGAATCTCCGGAGACAGAGCATAATAGGCTGTGGTCGGCCTCCCTCCAGCGGTGAGGCTGGGGCACCTCTGTCTTCAGTGGCTGCGGCACAGCTACCATTTTTATGGAATCAGCCTCAGTTTCAACAGATGAGGCAAATCATTCAACAGACTCTTCCCTGCTTGCAGCATGGCTACAGCAGATAGGTCAAGAAAGTTACTACAGCCCCAGTTGGCATGGCTCAGTGGATGGAGCACCAGCCTGTGAACTGAAAGGTCGCTGGTTCAATTCCCAGTCAGGGCACATGCCTGAGTTGCGGGCCAGGGCTCCAGTTGGAGACATATGACAGGCAGCCAATCGATGTATCTCTCACACATTGTTTCTCTCCTTCTCTTTCTCCCTCCCTTCCTTGCTCTCTAAAAGTAAATAAATAAAATCTTTAAAAAGAAAAAAGAAAGTTACTGCAGCAAATGAGCCAACACCAGGAGCATTGTCTTCAGATGTTAAGCAGACCAGTTCAAGAAGCTGGTGGTCACGGAGGGAGGGAGGGGGCAGAGGAGGAACTGCAGAAGTTGGAGACAGTTGTATGAACTACAGTCAACACCTCAGGAAAAAGAAGCCACAGAAAGGTGTATTTGCGTCTTTGAATCTAAAGCGTGCGTCTTGCCCTGGCCTGGCCAGTCTGGCTCAGTTGGCTGAGCATCGTCCTGGAAGTAAAAAGTTGCGTCTTTGATCCCTGGTCCCGGTGCTCATCCCTGGCCCAGGTGTGTACAGAGAAGCAACCCATCAATGTTTCTCTCTCTGGCACCATTTCTCTCTCTCCCCCTCCGTCTCGACAAGCAATGATAAAGAATGTCCTCGGACGAGGGTAAAAAATGAAATAAAGTGTGTGTCTGGTAGAGGCATATAGTTGGATCGTGCCCTATCTGCCTTTTGCCTCAGCTAGCCCAGCTTTACTCCGGACAAGACCTAGGTAAAGGCATTAGGATTTCCTGAAGGACATGTGAGACAAGCATATTTTTCTTGAGAGAAGAATGAGAACTCAGCTGCCAATTTTCTTCCACAGCAAACTAGGATAAAGATTGAAAGAGACTTTTTTTTTTAACCTCACACTTTGCACTGAGGCAGGATAGTAAAAAGCTGGGAAAATTCCTGGGCAAGTGCAATGGGGAGACTGAGACAGGACAATGAAACAGGGTCCAACAGTTTGAGCAACTTACAGCCAGCTGGTGAAGGAAGTTATCATCCCTAACCAAGGACACTTGAGAGCGAATGGTTTATACCTCTCCTCCCTAACCAGAGAATACGCAGCTTAAATCTCTCTAGTCTGGGAAATGGAGAACAGAGACCCAATTAAATGTCATTTGTGCCAGCTAAACCCAAGGACAGATGAAGTCAGGGGAACAAATAACAAAAACCCCATTAAAAGCCAGACAGACTCAAGATAAAAGTAAAACAGTTTAGCAGATTGAAGAATATTCCCCAAACTCCCCTATGTACACATTTTAATACACCAGCATATTAAAAATGGACTTGGAAAGCTGAGGGTTTCTGCTGAAACCCTCCCCTAAAATTTTCACCCACAGAAAAAACAGTTCTCAGGACAAAGACTCAGTGCAGGCAGCGCCTGTGCCCCTTTGAGGGCATGAACTCTCTACTTCCTCCTAACCTCGAAGGGTCACGAGGAGACTTGCAGCCAGGGGAGCAGCAGGCGGGGACAGCTCCACCGGGGCTTACCCTTGATCCTGTCTCCAGGGTCCCCTTTCTCTGACTTCCTGGTGGGCTAACAGCAGCCCAGCCTTACTCACTCCTGTCCTCTAACTTTTCTAGGGAGCCAAAGCAGAGCACCGCCTGGGCTCTGTCCTGTTTTTTCTTCCACCCCAAGTCTTTCCCTTGTTTCACTGTCCCCAGCCGTAATAAACGAACTCTCAAAATCACGTGGACTTGTGTTGTGAAATCTTTCCTACACGAAGTCAAGACCCCCACACACTTCAGGTCGGCCTGAGGCGGCCCCACTCCGGGCCAGTGCCTGACTGGTAACACCACCAGGGCATCGCACTAACTCTGCTCACTGGATTGTCTGGGATGCCTGGGGCTCACATCCACAACACTTGGCATAAGGTAGTAGATGGTTGGGGGTGGAGAGGGAAGGGTCTAGAATGCAAGGCAGCAACGAACACAGTGCATGTCTGCTTCAGTTAGCAGTTGCTGCAGATCCACACAGTGCGTAAAACAGACAGCCAAAAACCCAGCTGGTCCAGGTCTTTATTCCTTGCACCAAACAATAGGTAACTTCCTAGGTTTCACTCTTTTTATTGTACTAGATCCAGAAACTTGGTGTAATGCCCTGCTTAGTATTTGTCTGGCCCTAATTAATGTTTCTTTGACTGAACATTGCTTTCAGAAAGAGTCTCTGCCACCTTGAATCTACAGTCTGTGTTTCGTGGCAACACCGGATAATGGCTTCAAGAAATTGAAAAAAATTCTGGAACATCTATAAACACAAATGTCAAATTATTGCTGATTATTGTTGCTGCTTCAAATAAGTATACAATGAATGTCAAGAAAACCCATTCTTTCATGTTAAATACATGGGCTGGGCAGGAAAGAGGGGCAATTTTTCTTAAAGTGAAATCATTACTGCTTCTTTCACATCTCTTGATCATTGAATGTGAGACCCTTCTAACATGATCTGAGGAGCCCTGCAAGTATGGGCAGAGTTACTTTGCTGTGTTCATTTTTTCTTCTGGCTTTGTATCGGTAGGTGTCTAATGACTGTTTACTTCCTTGTTACACTGCAGTAGAAGTTTTCAAACCACGATTGCACATTCACTTCTGATGGATGCCTTTGTGAAATTAGCACTTTGGGGCCAATGGAGCAACGCAGCCCTCACACTCCCTCTCTCCCCTCCTCTCCCCTCCCCTCCCCTCCATAGAAACGTGTCTGTCAGCAAGTTGTGAGCTCAAACTGCTGCCTTTTTCAGAACACACACACTGACCGATTCAGTTCAAAATAAGTGCAAACGTCCCAAAACTGGGTTTCTGATATTTATAAATGTTTTTCCCTCCTAGATAAGAATATATGACCATTAAAATCATTAGGATTATATTGCTTTCAAAAAGAGAAGGTGGACAGAACTATAATCCTGCATCTTTTATTGCATTGGAAAGACTGGTGAAATCCTTTGGAAGGGTTGGGAGATGTGGCTGCAAAACGACTTTGGAAAATATACAATCAAGATAGTATCTCATGGCATATTTAAAAAATCTTAAAAATAAATAAATAAGCAAGATCTCTCTGGATGCTGTGTCATGAATGCCAAGATGGAGAGGAGATCAGCTGGGAAAGCACAGCAGGAATCCAAGCACAGGGTGATGGTGGCTTGATCTAAGGAGGTGGTGACAGAGGGGAAAGGTAGAAATGATAGACACTGGCCTGGAAACAAATCCCAAAATGCCCGCCCTCATCCAGAGGCACTTCTCTGCCCCCCACTCCCCTCCCTCCATACTCTGTGTGTCCGGCTCAGGATCCTGGGAGAAGTAGCAGGGAAAGGAATTCAAGGTCATGACCTTACCTTGCCCCCAGCCAGGAGGGCTCCCCACGGGCAGGGCACTCCAGCCAGGGGAGGAGGTGGGCAAGGGGCTGGCTGCCCTGCCGGGGTCCATCTGCGGTTCACAGGCCATAGCAGAGAACCAGCTACTTCCCCTTCTCAGGGCTGTGGTTCATTCTGGAACAGCCAGCTCAGCTTCACTTGCCTTCAGAAAACAGCAAAGAAATAACTTCAGGCCTGGGACAGCCAACTGGAGTCTTTCTACCGACTTCGGTCTTTCTGGTCATGCAGAGGAACCTTCTCAGGGACAGAAACTAAACCCCCCACCCCAAGACCTTGACTGAGAACCTCCCTTCTGGTCTTGGGTTTTCTCCAGCTCAGACACATCCAGGGACCCACAGGGAACCCAGCAGTTGAAGGGGGCCCACTCCTAGGTATGTGGGGTTTCCATTCCCTGACTAAGGGCAGACAGCTACATTTGTCACGGGGAGACTTGTTTATACAAAGGATCTCACATGGCTCCCCTGAAGACATTGCAAAATACAAATGACAAAGAAAATTAGGATGGTGGGGAAGTCTGTTTTTTTTTTTTAAGTAATAACCATGAAGAGTAAAAATACCCAGATATTCTGGCAATCAGAGCCCCTAGCAGAGATAGTAGAGGTTTGTGCTGAAGAACAGGGACTCCAGGGTCAGACTAACCACTCTAAGCATCAGTTCTATAGCCTACAGGTTATGTAAACTTGGGCAACTGGTTTAACCTCACGGAGCTTCAGCTTCCCTGTATTTAAATAATGGGACCTTCCCCACAGGGTTACGGCAAGGAATCGATGGGATAATACATATAAACCAGGGGCCCCCAACGCCCGGGCCATGGACCAGTACTGGTCTGCCGCCTGTTAGGAACCCAGCAGCAAGCAAAGCTGGCCAGAGCTCTGCCCCCATCTCCCCAGCATCCACATTAAGCCCCACCTCCTGCCCCCCAATATCCTCACCCCCGTCTTCCACAGTCCGTGGTGCCAAAAAGGTTGGGGACCACTGACATAAAGGACAGAAAACAGCACGTGGAACAAAGGCCACATGCCATAAACACTATCTCTGCTTGTTGCCGACAGTTGCCATCCTGATTCTAGGAGTTGGTTTTGAGCTTCCAGGAGGTCAAAGAAAAAAATGAAAAAATACAGTCAGTTAAATAGTTCCTGCTATCTACAAGGAGGCGGAGAAAAACGAGAGTGAGGGGAGCAATGCACCCTCTTGGCACTCAGCTCTGAGAGACCTTGGGTGTGTTTCCAAAGCCTCAGGAGCCAGGTCAGTGACACAGTCCATCGGACATGACCCTTACCCACTTGGCCAACGGAAGCAGAAGTGCCCTTAGTGGGGACCTCCTTGACGCCAAAGTGGAGTCTCCAGTGCCATGCACTCTGGGTGGAGCCTGCACACCTTCTCTGTGATGTCTCCCCCTGGGGGCTGAAACTCACCCCTCGCCGAGGCAAATCATGCCTAAGTCCCTGGGATGACACACGAATCCTGTTTAAAAAAACAAAAGTTCACCAGAATCATCTTTGGCTGCCATAGTTCCTGATACGGGTGAAGACGGGAAGTGTCTGGTCAGCACACATCTGCTCGGTTCCAAGCAGGCCCAAGGGCTGACCACAACTGCTCAGGCCCCCTAAAAAGAAGAATGTGACTGCCACACCCTCGCCACATTCCATTTCTCTCGGTTCTTTAAAAAGGACCGGCTGCATGATTTGTGGGACCCAGTGCAAAATGAAAACATGGGGCTCCTTGTTCAAAAATGAGAAAGTTCAAAATGGTGACAGCAGGGCCTTAAACCAAGTGGGGGGACCTAACTAAATGGGGGATGCTTTGTGACTGAGCAGACCTCATGCACTGAGCTGGCCCTGACTTTAAGCTCCAAAAGACCACACGGGAGTCCCCCCACCCCCACCAACCAAGAATATACAGAAATGAGTCTTTCACTAACAGGCATCACACAGACCTGTATCAGCGTCTGAGGTGACAAGGCAGCAAAATGACAGGAAAAGAGTGAGGACTTCAGTGCCAAAGAGCATGGACAAGATCCCCACTCAGTCACTCCCGTGCTCCGTGACGTTCACTGTAAAGGTACTTAACTCCTGAGCCTTGCTGTCCTCCTCTGTAACATGGGTTCAGGGAGGCCCAACTGGCATAACTGCTGTGGGGAGTAACAAAAGGAAACACAAGCACGACACCCAGCACCCTGCTCACCCATCAAGCCCCTTTCCTTACAGGTTTTTCTCATTTCACAGGAGAGAAAATTGAGGATCAAAGATGTAGAGAGACCTGCCCAAGGTAGGGTGGCCAGACACTGTGGAGCCAGCAGGTGAGCCCAGGCCATCTGGCTCCCAAGTCCAAGTCCATAACTCCATGTCCCTGAGCCTCTGCACCCAGGTCTGGGTGTCTCTTAGCCTGTTCCCTATGCCACTTAAAAAAAAAAAAAAAGGAGTTAAATCCAGGAACATTGCATTTCCCAGGTGTGACCCAACAACAAATTCTAGACTGCACCTGAGATGCTGCACCCTGGGAGGGGAGGCACCACCATCCCCTTAGCTAGCCCAAGGCCTGGCCCACAGCAGGTACTCCCAAACACTGTTATGCATTTGCCAGTCAGTCGTATCACCGGTACTTCCTTCCTCTTATCTTGTACCCCCAACAGGTATGAAAGCAACAACAACCCAAGGATGTCTGCCATGCCCCTGCACTTGGCAAACGCTGAAGCTCTTTCCTGCCCCATCTGATCACCTCCTAGGCCCATTAGGAAAATAGTCCTTGGATCCATTTTCCACTAAAGGCTGGCAATTTAATGCAATGGCTAAAAGTAACCTGCACGGTCCTGCACTTCCCACCTGTGTGACCTGGATGGAGCAAGTCGCTTAACTTCTCTCTGCCCCTTCTTTACATGGAAATGGAGATAGTAACGGTAGCTCAGTTGTTGTGAGGCTTCAACAGTTCATCCAGGTAAATTACTCAAAGCAGGGCTGGGCAAATAGAAATCACTAAAGGGATATAGCTGTTGCTACTTTTACTCCAGCGTCATCCCTTAAGAAACTTATAGCACCAGGCACTGTGCTTTCTCCACCATACAACCAAAATTAAATATTAAGTCCCTTTTCAGACCTCCTTGCAGGGGATCACCATCTGATGGAAAAGATAAACTCAAAGAAAGAGAAGCAAGAAACAAGACAACGAACAAACAAGGCAGTCAGGGTGAGTGGGCAGCATCTTGGGGCGGTAGACAGGCTTGGTAAAGGTGGAGGGTAGAGAAGGACTGCCAAGGAGGGGACAGGTACAGGCCAGACGGACCTGTCAGAGCAGCCTCTGCACTCACCTTGCAGCCCCTTGTCCACTGGGAGGCTACAGAGGGCAGGAGGGGTGTTGGCAAGACTGGCCAGGGACAGACACTAACCCATTACCTATCAGTGTGTCCTGAGCTCAGGACCTGGTCCAGGACTGTACCAGTCCTATGGGGAGCGTGGGAGGAGGAGACAAATGATCAAGGGGCAGGCAGAGCCAGGGAGTGAGCATAGCCCTAGGGGGTCCTGCAACTCACTGGTCATCTACTCCCCAACTTCTCCAAATTTCCTTAGTTGCCTTTGCTGACTCTGCATTTAACCAGAACTTCCAGTTATCCATCTTTTCTAGCTCGGTGGCAAGTCCCTGCAAAGGCAGATGTCCTTCAAGTGCTGCTGAACAAAGGTCTCCATTTCTTCAAACACTGAGTGCCCAGCCTCCCCAGGAACCAGCTGACTCGCTGAGATTTGGGGAAGAGAGGTTGGAGGGCAGCAGGGGAAGTAGGGGGTTGGGAGAGAAAGAAAGATCCCAGTTTTCACTAGTCAGGTTTGGTTTTTGTTTAACTGTAAAGTCCCAAGAAGAGGCCCCAAAGGCCGGCCTGTCACATAAGTTTGGGGGTGAAAAGGGCTTGAGAAACAACGGGTCCAAGCTCTCCACTTTACACAGGAGGAAATGAAGACCCACAAATGAAAGTGAACTATCCAAGGTCAAGGAGCCAATCTCGGTCAGGACCAGAACGGAACTCGCTTCATTCAGATCAAGATGACCCACTTCGCCTGGCCTTGGCCTTGGGCAGCTATGTCTTGCCACAATCACTGTCCCCAAGTCCCGCCCTGGGTCTGTAGTCTCAGGGTTCCCCTCACCCCAAATATCAGCCCTCAGACCACCGGCTCCCTGGAGCCGCCAGAGAGCAGCTCCCACGCACTAGCAGCAAAGGGGCCCAAATGCGTCCGGAAGAAGCTTGATGCACCCTCGGCGCTGACCCCGGGCCAGGAAGGGGCACCCAGGAGGTCTCGGTCTCACAGCACCCGCCCGCGCCGCTCAAATCGGGGCCCAGGGCGCAGACACAGGAGCGCGCCCGCGCCCACACACACTCACCAGCCCACGCCGCCGCCCTCTCGCCATCGCCTGGGGACGCGGGAGCTCGGGGGCGCCACCGCGCCACCGCCCCTCCGCGCCACCACCTCCGATGCAGCCGCCTCTAGCACGGCCGCACGCCCCCGCCCGCAGGCCGCGCTCGCCACTCTCGCGGGTCCCGCCCCAGGGCCGTCCCTGCGAGATCAACCTACCGGTAGGAGCCGCTTGCCTCGGGGCCAGCAGAGAAGCCTTCTCCCCGCACGCGGTGAAGGCGAGCTGGGAGAGGTCTTTCATCAGCCGGGCTCTCTCCCGGGACGCCAGGAAGCGCCTCCGCGCTTGCCGACCACGTGCACTGCTTCAGGGACTCGCGGGGTTGGGGGCGGGGGGGAGGGGGGACCCTCCGAGACAAGTTCCGGCCCTTCTCTGAGACTCGGTCTGCCCACGTCAGACCAGCGGCTCACCTCTGAAGTCCAGCCCACGCCTAACACAGTCACGGGACCCTGTGGATGAGGCAATACTGAGGATCAGACATTTCTCGGGAACTTGTTTTTTATAGAAAAATAAAAGTGCACATTGTATTATTAAGATCATCGGTTTAGGGACCAGGCCGTCTGAGCTCTAAGCCAGGTCTCCACTTTTTAGATCACCTTCGGTAAACTATTTAACGCCTCTCTGCCTTAGTTTTCTGTAAAACATGAAACAAAACAAACAGATTATACTACTCCATGGGATTGTATAAAGCTTTAATGAGAGATCATCTGTGTGTCGACAGCTGCCAGACACTGGTAGCTAGCTGTTCACTAGATTGGCTGCCACCCCCAAAGCCACCACCTGGAATTTCAGAGGGGTCAATATGGAGGTGCCCTCTCCCCAGGGAAAGTACCAACTTTGTGTATTTTTCCGTAGAGCACATATGGACAGACACACACACGTGTGTTCACACAAAAGGGAGCCTGTTCTGTTCTGCTGGACACCCAACTTTTTCATTCAGCAAAGTTCTTTGGTATTCATCCATGCTGGAACACCCCACTTCACCTCCCCTTCTTTCGTAAGGGGTGCCTAGGCCTCCATGTATTGTAGGAAGGCTCTCTGTTGCCTTTGCCCCTCCCAGGAGTGGACACGGAGGGGGTTGCCACTCTAGCTCACAGGCCTTGCTGGGATGGTCATAGCCACAGTGCTGTGAACACACCAGACACGCCACAGCCTGCACTTCCACAGCAGAGTCAGGATGGGGGTACATTTTAGTTCAGCAGGTACTGCTGAATTGCTGGGGTCTCTGAGACCGCAGGACTTAGTGGGGGGCATGCCCCGCAGGAGGCACGGGCAGAGTGGTTGGGGGCAGCGGCCAGTGAGTGACAGGAACTAAGCTGCAGATGCTGCCCAGGTGCCTTTGTTGACCAGGCAAGTGAAGCTTGGCTGAGTGCCTGCTGAGTGCCAGGCATTGTACAGGGCATCACTGAGCAAGACACGGCAGATCCCTATTTAATTTGCCTGTTTTCCCAAAACGTAATTTGGGAGGGGGAGGAGGGGGGAAGCAAGAAACCCTTGAGGTGTGGGAGCTTTACTAACTGCTGAGAGGATATTGAAAGGGACCCATGGATACCTGTGGCCCCCTCACCATCTGTCCAATCCCTGCCTTTCTTCCATGAAGCCTGATACGCTCCTGTTCTTTCTGCCAGGCTAACTTCACTCTGCATTCTCTCCGCTTGGCCCACCAGCATGGGCTTACATGTTGGCACATCAGTCTGCTGTGCTAGGCAGGCACAGAAGATGTGGGCCTTTGGAATTGGCTAACCAGGCTCCGCCACTTACTGGCACAGGAACTTGCACAGGTCGGTTTACTTCTCTGAGCTTCAATGTCTTCATATGTAAGAGGAGGAAAAGAATAACTGCTGCACTGAGAGACCGTGGGAATGAAATGACATGATGATGTGCTCAGCAGACAGTGCTCAGTGAAAGTGAGCTGCTCTTCTGGGCGGCCACACATTGTGCCTTTTGCCCCTCTGAACTATAAACATGGCGATGCGAGACCTGCCACTGTAGCATGAGGGAGTGTGGGCTCCATGTGGATGCAGAAAGGCAAATAGAATCCAGGAAAAGCTAATACCTAGTAAAGTCTGCTGGAGAGCAGTCTTAAGTAAAGCTACTTCCATGGATTCACAAGGCTGTATGTGGCAGGCCCAAGCCCCTACCCGCCCCCAATCTACCCTGTACTAATCTTTACCCATTGTCCCTCAACACCTAAAAGCCCTAAGCTCCCAAAACACAGAACACCTCTCAGTTCTTCCCCCACTCCATGCTCTCTTTCACTTCCAGTTCTCAATGGCTGCCATCCCTCACCATCTAAAAGAGAACCCCAAACTCCATCCCTACCTCATCACCTTACATTCTTAGGTCTCAGCTGGAAGGACACTTCCGGAAGGGTCCTCTCCTGTCCTGGGCCCATGCCAGTCCCCTGTTCTCATTGTTACCCTTGCTTAACCTCTGGCCACACCAAGCACATAGTATGATCATTGTTCAAGGTCCCATTTCCCAAAAAGAGGATGAACCTGTGGGCATAGGCCTGTTTCTGCCCGTGCGCTCAGTTGTCACCCAGCACCCTGCCCTCAGTATTTGTTACATGCATTTGAATTAGTGAATAAATAGCTACAAATGAAGTCATCAGGGGCTCAACTACAGATAAATTCACGTAGTCATGCGTCCCATATATGAGGGTGGTCCCAGAGGATTATAACGGAGGCTAGGTGTATATATAATGAGCTGCATCATCTAGGTGTGTGTAAGTGCACACTATGATGCTTGCACAACAAAATCACCAAATGACACATTTCTCAGAACGTATCTCCGTCACTAAGCAACACATGACTGTAATCACAAGCCCCAGCCAAAGCCACCCTTACTCAGCAATTGCACCATCTGTCCTGTTGTGTATATAAGGGTTACGGACCCGTGTTGGAGGGCCACCTCCCAATTATCTGGCAACCTGGGTGAAATAAGAAGAAATGAAATTCTCCCAAGCTTGGCTGAGACTTCAAGCGTGGCTACTGATGGGGCAGGGGAGAGCCTCAGAACCTCTGGATGAGATCAAAAATGAGATCTTCTGTTTTGGAACTGGTCTGCCAGTGATGGATTCACCGACTTTCTCTTGCAAACATGTTGCTTGAAGTGTTGCCATGGCCAAACCAACTGAACTAAATCCTACAGTGACTCAGGCTGGGAAGTCAGACAGAACTACCTTGAAAAGTTTTCCTAAAGCATCCACCACAGACTGCTCCATGACTAACAGCTGCATTAAATTGATTTCAAATCACATCACGCAATGAGTACCCCACTACAAGAGACACCCATGAGAACCTGGGACTAAGCACACAGCTGTCCTTGTTACGAATGTGCAGGGAGTAAGACGAGTCACGTGCTCTTTGTCAGGACACTGGGTCAAAACCAGAAGAAATACTCTGGATTCCTGTCAGGGAGGCCCCAAACCCCCTGAAATGTCAAGGATCTATTTCCACACTATGTGCAGAAAGACAAGAGCCACAGACAGGTACAAAGGGAATGAAATGGGGCAAGGTCCAAAGACCAAGCACTAACATCTGGGAGAGGAGGGAAGGGCAATTAAAAAGTAATTGGGCTTTTAACTAGAGAACTAGACTCTCCAGTCTTTTTATCTTTAAACACCCCATAAGACAATAGCAGACAACCCCATGATGCTTTCAGAACAACTAGCCTAGCTTCTCTCCTACTCTTATCTTTAACTGCTGCCATCTGTTCTAGAATGCTGCAACTTATTGTCTAATGGAAAAGGGGGAGAGGGGCATTGTCTGTTCCCTGACCCTCCAAACTCACCAATCCCCATCAATCATCCACCCAAACACTGTGAGCCATGGCCTGAAATTCACACCTGACCCAGGTGCTAGTCAGTGTCACTTCAAATATTTTAAAAGCCAGAGAAAATAGATGTTGACATGATCTGGCAGCTTCCTGTCCCCACCCACTGGCCAAATCGTTCAATAAGGAATATGCCTCTCCTGCTTGCTTGTAGGGGAAGGGGTGGGGGTGGGGTGCAAGACTTGAACTGCCTGCCTGTGCAGAAGCTTTTTCCATCATTTCAGAGCCACTGAACTGATGTGAGATCAGCTGACAGGAGAACACTCTTGAGATCTGCCAGATTGTGCCTGAAGGAGAGAAAACATTTTAAAAGGGTGAAAAATATGGGGCGTGCAAGACTCATCAGAACAGGTCCTTCCCACCAAGCAGCTTTCCTCAGCTTCTGGAACCATCACTCAGCGCCCTGCCCACCAAGGTCCAGGGGAAGAGCATGGTGGATTTATTCTTGCAGCCCTCACGCGGATCTGATGGTCTGAATTCCAGCTCTGTCACTTCCATGCTGAGGCCTTGAACATTCTATAGGCCGCCTGGGCCTCAGCCTTCCCGTCTGTGGAAGTGGGATCACAGTGCAGGGCTCTCGGAGCTTCACGTAAAATGCCTGCACACGATAGGCCTTCCTCACTAGAAGCATGCAGAGATTCATTGTACAGCCTCTGACAAGTTGCTTCATCTTTCAGAACTTCAAGGGGTTTTTTTCCCACCCAGAACATGGAAGTGGTAGATCTTCAGGAAAGTTGTGTAAGATTGGACTTATTTATGCTTGTTTCAAAAACCTGAGGTCTAAGTAATGGCATGAAATGAAATGGTCAGTCTGTGTCTGTAAGGGGCAACATCGTGGGCACCTTGCTCTCCAGACGACAGGTTCACAGCACATGACACTGCCGGAGGAGCGATCCGTCTAGCCATTAGGGAGATGAAAGGTTCCGCTAAGTCTGACTGCCAGTCCCAATCTTGACTCTAACATGGCACATCTTGTTCTTTAACCTCTCTGACTCATATTCCATAACATAAAGATGCTATGATGATTAGTTAATATAAATGCAAAAAGTTCTTAGAACACCAGCTGGCATGGAGAAAGCTACTGTTAGCAATTGTAGCCGATAGTTCTTACTCTCTGATTTCTCAGCCTCCTAAGCAGTTAGGTTGGATCATGTGACCCATGCTCATCAGTAGGCTGAGAACAAGTTTTGTGTCACTCCAGGAGTGAAGCGTGTAAGGGCTGGTGCATGTTTCCTAACTTTTTCTTCCCCTGCTTCTGCAATTGTGGACATCCATGGGCTATGATGGCAGAGCCACAAAGCAGAAGTAGTCTGAATCACCGAGTCACCCAACTTGTAGCAAACATTGTAAGAGATAAATCATTGTCCAGTCACTGAGATTTCAGCACATATCCTATCCTGACCAGCGATTACTGAAGACTTGGAAACCTGTAATCAAGGATGATCAGACTGAGAAAAGAACCACCAAATTTTAGAAA